AATGGTCGTTTAATTTTTAGTTTTGACTGAAAAATTGATAAAAAGGGTGAATTTTTACACCAGAGCTAAGGTTATTCCACTGTTTTATAGTTGAAGGAATAAAACTATAATGGTCGAGAAAGATTACCTCCGTCTGATCACAAACTCTAAGAGTGCTGTACATTTTGGAATGGCTGTAATAATTCGCAAAGATAATTTGGGGCAATACCATGGACAATTTTATAATAATAAAAGTTTAAGATTTATTCTTCTCTGATATAATGGCTCCCAACCTAGTTCGCCGTAAAAAAAAAAAAGATCTTGAAGAATTTACCCTTAGATCAGCAATAATTCTTGCAGCTTCTACCTGGACCCTTTCCAACAATTCTGTATTTTCCTGATTGAGAGCAGTTATCCCACCTAGAACCGGTCTGATAAAAGCAAGATATATCTTTATTAAAGAATTTCTAATCTCAAAATATTTAATGTTACAAGCCTTTTCGTAAATTGGAGAGATATGGCTATTCCAACTACCATTGGACTGAAGGTGAAGCCCGCCCTAAATTTATATGACTACTGGATTGTTCAATACTGATTGTTCAGGTTGAAAACCAGACTGGTTTTTTGATAATAATTCGTAGTCTTTTACATAACTGAACATATACTTGAAAAGTTTGAAAAGTATTTTTCCATGACTTTAAAGACAGAACTAGTAAGAAAAATGGGCTTATAATAATTAGTATTTTCGTGGCTTCCTTTTGTTTTTCTTTGTTTTTTAAGATTGGAGAAACATGTGCTTGTTTCCATATATAAGGTTGGTATTTCATTACTGAGTGACATGTTGAAGAGTTTTGTTAGTGGTTTATAAATAGAGAATCGTGTTTCTTTTAGAATTCTTGGAGATAATCCGTCTGGCCCTGGTGGTTTAGAGGTATCTAAGATTTCTAGTTGATCAACAACATCCTGTTCAGTAATTTCAAAATCTTCAAAGCAATAATTTGGTGGACCGGGTCGATCCATGTTCAGGAAGATCTGGCTCGGTGTTTATGTGTGAGATAGATGTTTACAAAATAAGTATTAAATTTGATGTGTTTTGATGTGGATATAGTGTAAGAATTTGTTAGGAACATACGGTAATATTTTGAGATTGCAGTTTAAATATTCTGATAAATAACTCGAGAAACAGCGCACTCTTTGTGTTTAAATAATTATACACTTTTTCAATGGGCGGCACTGTAGCTCTCTGGTCGTCCATCTTCATTTTTTCAGACCAGTGAGCTGCAGCTTATACTTTTAAACACTTAATCCATTCTGACAAAGTGTTCAGTTCTTCTCTTTCATATTTCGCCCAGCGTCTGGCACAGTCTTCGATAGAATTCAAGAAAAAAAGTTCTTCGGCCAATTGAAAGACCGGGGCTCCCTGTATTTAGGACCTTTCAAAATGATTGCTTTGAGGTCGTCATTTTCAACTGTATTAACACCGCCAGTAATGACGTGTCCAGCGAGACTATATATATAGTTGAATGAAGAGGAAGAACAAGAACATGGAAGAGATTTTTGTTTGTTTTAGATGTTTAATATCTAGGCATGTAAGGTTGGTTTATGATTGAAAAGTTTGGAAGCAACAGTTTGGTAACATCTGTAGGAAATGCAGGGTGTAGACTTCAACTTGAAATATGGTGGAATGCAAGACTGAACTCTTTTACGATTAAGAATGTCATAATGTTCACAGTAGCTATTCCTTTGTTGGCAAACTTTTCAGTTTAAGGAACTAACGGGTTGAATCAGAATTATTATCTTCCGACACTCGTGGCCGCTTTAAGAGCCTGCGCTGGGCAATATCCATAATCACAAACATTAGCTTGTATTCTGCAGTTGAAGAATCCAAATATGGACTTGCTAAAGCTTCTTAAAAAATCCATCCAAAATTTCAAGGAAACCTGTTAAAATTAAGTACGAATGACCTAATTGTTTATTGACGTAAGATAAAAGTGAAACAAAAGAGACGTATATTTGGTCTATTGTGTGGTCGTTGTCCATGATTAGGCATACAGCTCCTCCAGGTGGTGTATTGCTAGAAAAGTCCATCACATTCACACTGGCACATAGTGATCTTGGAAGATTCCCTACATTGTTTAGGTGGACGTTGCAACCATACGGAAATGCAGTGCCTAGTTTTTTGATGATCCAGTATTTTTTTATTGTATACGGAATGGAGTACTTGATGTGGGACTATTAGTTGGATGATATATTTTTTCCGAAATTCTAACCCTCATTGAAAGGATAGAGTGGTCAGGCGAACTGAAATGTTTATAAGGATGTTGATGGTCCTCATTATTTATTTCAAACCTATGCCCTGGAATTCTCTTATTGACTGAATCCTTCGTTTCCCCATTATAAATCAGTCCGCATAAAGTACATTCAATTCCATAGACAACGTTAGAAGTTTTATAAGTTATTTTTTTTCAGTTTTAATATAAAAATTTGTCCAATGAGGTTGCTTATAAAGCAACTTCATGACGTAAAAACGGGAAAATCGACCCCCCCCCCCCCCCCAAATGCATGATACATCATAACATGCAAATTATGTTCAAATCTTCAAAATATTAGGATTCAGACAATTACTTATATCAGAACCTAAAAAAATTCTAATAGAGAAAAATATTATTTTTGTATGCCCTAAAACGAAGATACTGCTTCTGATCACTTCTTCCTCCTTATCGTACGCAGAAAAGTCATAAGTCCTCAAAATGAATGTCGGTTATCCAGTGAATCTCATTGGTTTGAATGAGATCACTTAAACACTAAAATTCTTTCTTGGTTGTTAGTACGGGAAGTAATGTTGCAGCTGTTGCAAAAAAATGCGTAACCCGCGTAAGCGGGTTATGTAATTTTTTTTCTGAAATAGCTGCAACATTAATCCCCGTACTAACAAACAAAGATATTTATTGTTTATATGTATATCTATACAAATAATCATTCAAAGTACTAAGATTTAGTTGATGAAATAGTGTATTGTTGATATTTACGTCATTGTACGTTTCATTGATGGAACAGCCACTGCTCAGGAAATCTGTAGAGGTGATATGCATATAGCGGTGTTTACTTACTGATAAACGGCAACGGTTTTCTTAAAAAATAAAGAAGATAATATTCAGTGGATGTAAAAATTAATATATTATGATAATGACAAGAGTTAATAAAAATACTTAGGGAAACTTAGTGAATCATCTTTTAAACTTATAAAAAGTATCCAAGTTATGCATCAAAATTAAAATGAATACCTGCAAAATTCAAAAAGTAGGTCACCTTGACCTACTTTTCAGTCAACATGATATGAGGTCCAAAGATGCATCAACTGACAAGATTTGATGATCCTAGGCCTTATAGTGGGCAAAATATCAAAGATTAAACAAAACGTAAATTTTGGTCATCTTTGAAGTGACCTTGAGACCATGCCCTATGCCGCAGTGTGTTGCCTTGAGCAATTTTCAATCTACAATATATCCTCATCCTTGTATGTATGTTTAATGATAATCTGCCTAGTGGCTCTTGAAAAGAAGATTTTTTTTTAGCAACCACTACTTTTTTTTTATTTCCCTAATTATCTGCCCTTGTTTTAGTCCTTGAGCCCTTGGGGCAAAGATACTCTGACAAATTTGAAAAAAATTGACTGTGAGATTCTTGAGATATGGCCCATTTTCCAAAAAGCTTAAGCACACCACAAATGGCCATAGCATTAGCTCTTTGAGCCTTTGGCTCAGAAGAGCTAAAAATTGCTAAAAGTTCTTCTGAAGTCTTACAAGAAATATGTTTCTGTAAAATTTTTGATATTTGACATCTATGAGAGTAAATAATAGAAGAGTCCGCATAATTTTTGAATGACCCTTGTACTTTAACATCATGACATTAAGGAGGGATTTTTCTCATATTCATTATACTTAAAAATTAATGAAATTTTCATAAATTCAGGAAGACAATATCACTAAGTGATGGTATCAATTAGATTAAAATTGACCATTTTATTTTAGGAGCAAGGCCAATATTTTCTTCGTTGACCAAGTTGATATTAAAAATAAAACAAGAGGCCCTGTTCTTCAGCAGCAGATTTTTTCCCATATATTCCTATGTAAAATGTTGATTCCCCATTGTGCCTTCCTACCCCCCTCAAGGGGGGCCAATTCATGATTTGAACAAAATTGAATCTACACTACCTGTGGATGCTTCCAAAACTGAGGTCCCGTGTCACGGTAGGCATTGGCATGGTAAAGAACCCTTACTGCTTAATGACCCTTGGTGCCGAGTCTATGTCTAAAATCACCTGCATACGGTGACATCTCTATATGATTGAAAAATTCTCGAATGGGACGTTAAACAACATACAGTCAATCTAATCATGGCTTACTTTTCTTGAGAAGAAGATTTTTTTACAATTTTTCCTATATATTTCTATGTTAAACTTTGATCCCCAATTGTGGTCCCACCCTTTGATCCCACATTGTTGCCCTACCCTTCCCCTAGCGGTCATGATTTTACAAAAAAAAAAAAAATGAATTTACACTTTGTAATTAAGCTTTCACATAACTTTGTAATTAAGCTTTCACATAAGTTTAAACTTTTTTGGCCCACTGGTTCTTGAGAAGATTTTTAAAAGACGCCATCAAATTTTCACTTATTCCTAATCATCTCCCTTTGAAAGAGGGCATGGCCCTTCATTTGAACAAACTTGAATCCCTTCCACCCAAGAATCCTTTGTGGCAAGTTTGCTTGAAATTGGCCCAGTGGTTCTGGAGAAGAAAAGTTTACAGAAAGATGGACAGACCACAGACAAAATGTGATCAGAAAAGCTCACTTGAGCTTTCAGCTCAGGTAAGCTTAAATAAACTGTTGCCAGTCTTGTGATGCCTTTTATTTCAAAGGGTTAAATGTTTACTTTTTGCATAAAAAGATGTTTCATATTTAGGGGATCCCTTCTATCTCTTTCAACCCCCCCCCCCCCCAAAAAAAAAATACCACACACACTTCAAGCTTTTATTAATTTATAAATCATTAACCTTTTACATGACAAAGTTTGCTTCTGAGACTTTTTTCTTTTCTAAGTAAACCATTCCAGACATTCTTCATCGAGTCTCTTTATTGTAAACCATCCATTCTTAATTAATTATTAATTAATTGATTAATTAGGAATGAATTTAATAGCTACCCAATTTATACTGTATAACTTGGGACAGTTTACAAAAAAGCGTAAACTGTTCCAACCCAGGTTACACCAGTAGCAACAACTTGGGTAGCTATTAAATTTATTCCTTATAATTTAATTTTCAATTATTAAGTGTAGAAAATAAGATAATCTACCCTTCAAAACTGCCTTCAGATTGTACATATTTTAAATGTAACGGCAAGCAGATTGACATGTTTTTGACGCAAGTCATTATGATGTAGGCAACACAGGTAATATGATATAAATTAATTTTTTATCCAATCAAATGACACGTTACAACCAAAATTAAATTATTACAAAATGTTTCTTAATAAATTTTTAATTGATAGGTAAATGTCATTGTGTGTTGATGTTGACATCATTAAAAAAAAGGGGTGCATTTTGCATTAAAAATAAAATAAAATAAAAATCATATCATGACTCTGCTTGTCTTGAGAAGAATTTTGAATATTTTTCCTATTTATCCTGTTGATATGAATTATATTAATATGAATTATCATGGCTTTTCTGTTCTTCATAAAAAAGAAGATTTTTAAAGATTTTACTTTGTATATATTCCTTGGTAAAATTTTGATTGCCCTTTGTGGCCCTACCCAACACCAGGGGTCATGAAGATTTTTCTTCATATACTTTTACATGTAAAATTTTGATCCTCTTCCCCGGGGGTCTATGCTTTGAATAAATTTGAATCTATAATATGTCATATAAACTATGTCTATAAACTATATAGCTTTTAAATAATGTTTCATCTCATCTGGCCTAGTGGTTCTTGAGAAGGTTTTAAATGACCCCACCCTACTTTTGCTTTTTTTAAATCTCCTCTTGGACGTGGTACTACATGTACCCTTCATTTGAACAAACTTGAATCCCCTTCACCCAAGATACTTTGTGTTAAGTTTGATTGAAATTATTCCATTGGTTTTTGAGAAGAAGTTTAGAATGGAGTTTATGATGGACAAAAACAGTTAGCAATAGGTCACCTGAGTGACTCAGGTGATCTAAAAATATAAAACATTATAAGTAATTAATTTCGACTTTGCCCACTAATCCTCATGTAGTTCCTACATGTCTGCATACCTCTATATATGTATACATATATGTGCATAATTAGTATTTTCATCTGAAGAACTATTATGACTACATTAAGAATCATTATCTCTGTATCCTCCTTTTCATCTGTCCTTTTATCCTTTCTTTATCCTTTTAATTCTCTTCATGTAAGGCCCTTTAATTGCAGCCCCCTTTTTATAGTCATTTTTCCTTGAGAGCAAAACGCCCAACTTTTCGACTCCATCTTTGATAACAGTTTGTAATTCACTCTGTACTTCTTGGACTCTCTCTCTGTCACAGAATATTTCCTCAAACCTAAAGCTGTAATGAGAAGTAACATTATAATAAAAACAAGAGCCCAAGGGTCTAGAATCGCTCTTCTGAAAATTGTACAACTTATAATCTCATCTGTTCTAAGGCTCTTGGTAACCTCTATATAAGGATAAAGCCTTGAAATTCCTAAAGTAGGTCAGCATGGCAACAATTGACGAAGTTTGATAATTCCAAGCCAATTAGTATCTGAAATATTTAAATTTAGCCATGAAGTTGCAAAACGTAGGTCACAGTAACCTACTTTTTGGTTGATACACTCTGAGGATTCAAGATGCATCAACTGATAAAGTTTGATGATTCTAAGCCAATAAGTATCTGAAATAGCCATCAAATTCCTAAAGTAGGTCACAGTGACTTACTTTTTGGTTGACACACTCCGGGTACCCAAATTGCATCAATTGACAAAATTCTTAAATCCAAGCCAATTAGTACCTGAAAAATTCAAATCAAGCCATGACATTGCAAAAGTAGGTCACACAGACCTCCTTTTTGGTTGATACATTCCCAAGACTCAAGATGAATTCACTGACAAAGTTTGATGATTCTAAGCCAATCAGTAAGCAAAAAAGTCATTAAAATTCCAGAAGTAGGCCATGGTGACCTACTTTTTGGTTGACACACATTGAGGACTCAAGATGCATCAACTGACATAGTTTGAAGATTCCTAGCCAATTAGTACCTGAAATTTACAAATTAAGCCATGAAATTGCAAAAGTAGGACACAGTGACCTATATTTTGGTTGATACACTACAAAGATTCAAGATGCATCAACTGACAAAGTTTGATAATTCTAAGCCAATTAGTATCTGAAAAAGCCATCAAATTCCAAAAGTTAGTCACGGTGACCTCCTTTTGGATAACACACTTGGATAACACACTCTTGGTACCCAAGATGCATCAACTGACAAAGTTTGATAATTACAAGCCAATTAGTATCTGAAATATTAAAATTTAGCCATGAAATTGCAAAAGAAGGTCACTGTGACCTACTTTTTGGTCAATACACTTTGAGGACTCAAGATGCATCAACTGACAAAGTCTGATGATTCTAAGCCAATTGGTATATGGAATATTTAAATTAAGCCATAAAATTGCAAAAGTAGGTCAAGGTGACCTACTTTTCGGTTTACATACTCCGAGGACTCATGATGCATCGACAGACTAAGTTTGATGATTCTATGCTTTATAGTGTCAAAAATATGCCCTTAAAACAATTTTAAAATAAATACGTGTAAAATTCCAAAAGTAGGTCACTGTGACCTACTTTTTGATAAATCTGTTTTAAGGCCCATAAGTGCATCAGCTTACAAGGTTTGATGATTCTAAACCTCTTAGTATCTGAAATATTGATCTTTAATGTTTAGAAAATGATAAGCTATTAAATTCAGAAAGTAGGTCACAGTGACCTACTTTTTGGTTGGTGCACTTCAAGGTCTTATGATGCATAAACTGCATCGGTCACCGTGACCTACTTTTGAGTCAACATGATGTGAGGTCTGAAGATGCATCAACTGATAAGATTTGATGACCCTAGGCCTTATAGTGGGCAAAATAAAAAAGATTAAACAAAACGTAGATTTTGGTCAACTTTGAAGTGACCTTGAAGACCATGCCCTTTGCCCAAGGGCAATTCCCCTTGCAAATTTTAATCTACAACATATCCTCATTCTTCTATATAAGTTTGGTGATAATCTGTCCAGTGGTTCTTGAGAAGAAGATTTTTTAGCAACCACTACTTTTGTTTTTATTTCCCTAATTATCACACCTTGTTTATGGGACACATCCCTAGTTTTAGTATAAATGAAAGCCCTTGGGCCAAGGATACTCTGTGACAAATTTGAAAAAAAATTACTAAGGGGTTCTTGAGATATGGCCCATTTTCCAAAAAAGTTAACGCACACCACACAAATGGCCTTTGGCTCAGAAGAGCTAATGATATCTAGTTTCATTTCTACTGCAAATGAAAAAAATTTAATTATTTTCAGAGTTTTAGCTCCACTTGTTTGTGCTGAGTTTTAGTTCTGTTCTGCTTTCATCAAGTCTTGGTACACATATAGACTACAATACATCAAGATAAATATTTCGTTAGGGATGGGTATCGCCAAAAATAATGTATTGCGATATATTATGTTTTTTCCGAAATTATCATAATAATATCATGATATTTTTTTCATACAATTTTTACTATGATTTTAAATGAATTTCCATGATTTTTCTTACAAATGTAGTGTGAAAACAAAACTTCCCTTTTTTCAATTTTATTTATATATTTATTTAATGAAGCATGTTTAGGTGCTAGGATGCCATTGTTTTACATTTCCTACAATTCCTGTAATTGTTATTCAAGAGTTTGAACGATAAAAATAATTATTTCTGGAATTAGTCATTGCATACAAAATACGGTATTTTAGTCTCCATGTTATGATACGTATCGCGCAATAAAAAATCACAATATACCGGAATATATTGATTATATTGCACATCGTAATTTTGGTCTGGAAGGGCTTCAGTTATCTAACAAGAGGCCCAAGGGCCTTGAATTTCTTCTGATAAACTGACCCAGGGGCCATGAATTTCACAATTTTAAAAGAGGCATTCTTCCTAATCATAACCATACGCTTCCTTTGTTTGATAATTTTTTTGTCATTCATATAGTTATTTACGTCATAACATGCATTTTTATACAAACATTCCAAAACTACAATAGAATGGCATAAAAACAAATATTCTACATGATAGATAAAAGAGATCCATTTGAACAGTTTTGAAAAATAGACAGCATTTTTTTCCGTAACATTTAAACCTTCACTGACTGAGAAATGTTTTAAAAAAATCCCAACTTTGCTTTATCATGTCTGCTTTCTTATGAGAGAGAGAAAAGGAGGAAAAAAGCTCTATAGTTCTATAATATCTAAGTACTTCCAAATAAGCATAAAAAGACGGTGTTATATTTTTCCATTTACAATTCATTATATTTTGCTTTGCAACCAGAATAATTATGTTCAAAGTTCTGAAATCAGTTTCACTAGAACTTTTAATATATCCAAATATGATTTCTTCAGCAGTAAATTTAATAATTAAACCACATGCATTTCGAAGTTTATCTCTTAAATTAGACCATAAAGTAACGGAATAAGGACACAAGCACAATAGATGAATAATTGTTTCTTTAGTATCATGGCAAAAAGAACAAAGTTCTGTTTCAGATAATTTGCATTTCATAAGTTTGCTATTTGTAAAAATTATTTGATGTAAAAGCTTAAACCGACATCGAAGCTTTGTGTCCTTTGTTATTAAATAGGGTAAAGAAAAAGAGTCTTTCCATTTATTTTCATTAATATGTATTGAAAGTTTTTCCTCCCATTTCTTTAAAGCCATTGAGGGGGACTCTGTTATCTTTTCAACAAACTTTTTATAAAAGTGTTTTGTACTTTCATATTTTTTTCAAGTTTCAAAATATTTTCACTGTGACCTACTTTTTAATAAATATGTTTTATGGTCCCAAGATGCATCATCTAACAAGATTTAATGATTTTAAACCTCTCGGGATTTGAATTAATGACCTTGATTGTTTTGAAAAAGATTAGCCATAAAATTCAAAAAGTAAGTCAAGGTGACCTACTTTTTAGTTGACATACTCCCAGGACCCAAGATACATCAACTGACAAAGTTTGATGATCATAGGCCTTAAACTGTTCAAAATATGCCTCTAAGTCATTTTGAAAAAGAATGGCCGTAAAATTTAAAAAGTAGGTCACCGTGACCTAATTTTGAGTCAACATGATATGATGTCTTTAGATGCATCAACTGACAAGATTTGATGATCCTAGTCCTTATAGTAAGCAAAATATCAACATTTTAATAAATGTAATTTTTGGTCAACTTTGAAGTGACCTTGAGACCACGCCCTTTGCCCCAGGGTAAATCCCCGTGCAAATTTTAATCTACACTATATCCTCATCCTCAAAAATTGAATCAAACTACCTGAGGATGTTTCCATATGACTAGTCATACCATTACTGTTCTTGAGGAGGAGAATGTAATTTCTATGTAAAACTTTGATCGCTCATTGTGACCCCAAAGGTTTTGTTGTTATTAAGATTTGATGATTCATCCTGTAAATTCCTATGTAAAACTTTGATTGCTTATTGTGCTTCCTTGCCCAGGGGGTCAAGATTTGAACAAATATGAATCTACACTACCTGAGGATGCTTCCAAATAAATATAACTAATCATCCTGAGAACATTTTAAAAGATTTTTCCTATGTATTCCCATGTAAAACTTTGATCACTCATTGTGGCCCCACCCTACCCCTGGGGGCATGATTTAAACGAATTTGAATTTACACTAGGTAATGAAGCTCTTACATAAGATTCATCTTTACTGGCCCCTTTGTTCTGGAGGAGGAGATGCCATTAAACTTTCGCTTATTCCTATGTATCTCCCCTTGAAAGAGGCCAAGGCCCTTCAAATCCTCTTCAGCCAAGGATGCTTTACAGCAAGCTTGGTTGAAATTTGCCTAGTGGTTCTTGAGAAAAAGTAAAAAATGTGAAAAGTTTACTGAAGACAAACAAGAGGCCCATGGGTCACAATGTTCACCTGAGTTACTTTGGCCCTGCTGTTCGTCACCAGATTTTCCCCTTGTAATATGGATTGTGGCCCCACCCTACCCCTGGGGATCATGATTTGATCAGTTTAGAATCTACACAACCCAAGAATGCTTCCATGTAAGTTTCAGCTTTTCTGGCCCAGTGGTTCTTGAGAAGAAGATATTTAAAGATTTTTCCTGTAAATTTCAATGTAAAAATTTGAATCCCCATTGTTGTCCCACCCTTCTCCTGGGGGGTCAAGATTTGTATAATTTAGAATCTTCACTACCCCAGGATGCTTCCATGTAAGTTTCAGCTTTTCTGGCCTACTGATTCTTGAGAAGAAGATTTTTAAAGGTGTTCCCTAAATATATTTCAATGTAAAACTTTGATTCCC